TGTGTGAGAGAGGGTGTGTGTGTGTGTGTGAGAGAGGGTGTGTGTGAGGGTGTGTGTGAGGGTGTGAGAGAGGGTGTGTGTGAGGGTGTGAGAGAGGGTGTGAGAGAGGGTGTGTGTGTGTGTGTGTGAGAGAGTGTGAGTGGCTATGTTTACATGCACAATTTTTGGTTCAATCGGACTGAATTCATTCCGATTGATGAATCTGAATGAAGTGTTTACATGAATGCTAAAGAAAGTGATCGGGTTGATGTGTGCGTTTATATGTCACAAGCTTCAAATCGGAATAGATTTTTTTTTTACATTAATTTTTACATGAATAGCATATTAGAATGATTTCTGAAAATCATGTGACATTTTATACTGGATTAATGATGCTGAAAATTCATCTTTGACCACAGAAATAAATTATATTTTATATTTTACATTCCGATACAGGCTTATTGTGAAACATTACAAGTCTTACTGATCCTAAACTTTTGACCGGTAGTGTATATAAAGATGCATTAAAAGCCTGATGGTGACAGATTTCACAGATGTGATTTTTATTTTTTATTATTTCAGCTTAGCTGTGGTTGTAGAAGATGCGTCGTCTTCCTGCTGTGTCACAGTGAAAGTCCACCCTCACGTGACCGTCGCGTCTCTGAAGCAGCAGGTAGGAAAGATCAAAGCACATCTTGAAGTCCGATCTGATGTGTTGGATTGATCTGATGGAGTGTTTGTCTCTTGCAGATGTTTGTTGAGTATGGTTTCCACCCCAGCGTGCAGCGCTGGGTCATCGCTCAGTGTCTGTGCTCTGACGGCCGCTCTCTAGCGTCGTATGGCATCTACAGGGACGGCGACACTGCGTTTCTCTATCTCTTGTCTGCTCGTCACGCCTGCCTCAGTCGCCAGCAGCAGGAGAACGGTGTGTCGATGCCGACTGCAGCAGCGCCGCCGAACACCTCGCTCGGCCCCACACCGGCCCCCAGCGGCCCCGGCAGCCACGACTGGAGAGGCTACAGCACCTTACCTTCCCGCCTTAGCCACAGCAGCACAGGTCCGCTCGGGTCACTCACAGCTGTTTGGCACGGTCCACAAATGCTTGCTCTAGCGGCCGAAGATGAGTGAATAGAGGACGTTTTGCATGCAAAAAAAAAATGCAACATTAAATTTTTTCCCTTACGACAGTGGAATTATTTAAATGTCTTTCCTGGTATATTCAGGTCATTGTGTCACTCACAGTATCATTACAAGCCAGTCTCTGTCTCGTTAAATCAGGCTTCTTTTTATACTAGTGCTTATGCTACTGTGCAAATGTGTGGGGTTGGTGAGATGTTTCTGAAAGAGTCTCTTCTGCTCATCAAGGCTGCATTTATTTGATCAAAAATACAGTAAAAATTGTGAAATATTATTACTATTTAAAATATCTGTTTTCTATGTGAATATATTGTAAACCGTAATTTATTTAAATGATCAAAGCTGAATTTTCAGCGTCTTCAGTGTCACATGATATGCTGATTTGCTGCTCGAGAAACATTTCTGATTATTATCAGTGTTGGAAACAGTTATATTTTTGTGGAAACTGTGATGCATTTAGTTTTTCAGGATTCACAGATGAATAGAAAATTCAAAAGAGCAGCATTTATTTGAAATCAAAATCCTTTGTAACATTATAAACGTCTTTACTGTCACTTTGATCAATTTAATGCATCCTTGCGGAATAAAATAATTAAGAAAAAAAATTGTACTGATTCCAGATTTTTGAATAGCTTTTGAATGGCTGCTCTCTAGTTTTGCACAGTGTGCAACATAAATCTAAATAGTGCTTATTCATCCCAATCAGTCTAATTTGCAAACTCTGGCCAACATCAAAAGGTGAATTTTCCTCTACCGTTTTAATGATGTTATGATATGATTTAAATCAACATGAAACCACACTCACAATCCATTTTCCTTCCAAATTATGATATAACATGTTGAAACTATTTCATCTGAATTTCTTCAGTCTCTGCACAGTAATGATATTTCTGTAAATGTTTGAATATGTATAAAAGTGGAAACGGTTTTAGTTTCTTCTGAGTTAGATTTAAGGCTGATAAATGTGGCCACTGCATAATTTGTATTTTAATTTAAATATAGTTTCTAATTTATACACAGATTTCAAATGAGTTATTAATTTTTCAAAGCTTGTGTTAAGTAAGCATTCAGAAAGCAGTATGGGAATTTAATTGAAACTTAAAGGGGTCATATGATGCGATTTCAAGTTTTGCTTTCTCTTTGGAGTGTTACAAGCTCTTGGTGCATAAAGAAGATCTGTAAAGTTGCAAAGACTAAAGTCTCAAATCCAAAGAGATATTCTTTATAAAAGTTAAGAGTCACCCACACCTACCTAAAACGGCTCGTTCTAACACGCCCCCACATGTCTACATCACTATGTGGGAAGATTTGCATAACGCCGCCCAAATGTTCACGCAAAGAAAGAAGGCGTAACTTTTATTCTCGCTGTAGTATTGTTGCTGCCGCCATGTCGTGAAGACGCTGTGTGTTTCG